AGTGGGGTTAGCCCTAAAAGGAGTAACTCTTGGTATGACAAGGTTGGTTCCATTTTATAACTGTGATAGGTCAATCTGGAGAAGTTACCTTCAGTATGTTTTGTTGATTAGCATATTATTTCCATAGGTTGGAACTGGCCCAAAGCTTACTGCAGAATAGTTACTTCTTAGAGAAACGTATCTTTGATTTTCTTGATTTAGAGAGTAGTCATTTCAGGTGTATGGCCAATATGGCAGTAGTCAATATCAGATATTTAGTATACTTGGTGTTTATTTGTTTTTCTGTATTTCTTTCATCTATAAACAGGATTGTTTTATTATCTCATAGTAGGAAGACAGCAGACAGTTTAGGGCAGTGGCTGCCATGGCTGTCGGTGTTGTAGGATGCAGGCTGAGGGCAGATCCTTGTCTTGATCTTCCACTTAGAGTACCACACTCACATAGCTTAATTGAGGGAACATTTGGCATATGCTAAATTGTACATTCTTTTAATATATATATATAATTTGTTTTTAATTGACACACAATAATTGTATATATGGGGTACAGTATGATGTTTTAATACATGTAAACAGTGCATAAATGATTGGATCAAATCAGGGTTACCAAGTTCTCTCTAGTACCTCTTTCTCAATAGACAACTGTAAGATAGCAGTGGTCATTCTACTGGTTACAGGCCATTGTTAGTTCTCTCCCCCTCAACTCCCCCCCCCCCCCCCCCCGCAGTCACACTGCACTTGTGCACCTGCTAATTGTCCTCTCCATAGCCTTCCCAGATCTTGGTCACCTCCATTCTACTGTCCACTTCTGTGACATCAACTTTCTGCTTCCACCTCAGAGGGAAGGACGTGTGGTGTTTGTCTTTATTAAAGTTGTAGTTTTGGATGTGTTTCCTAATTGTACATAGACGTCTCTTAGCTGTCCACACACTATGATAATGAGCATGTGCTGCGTCCCTCTGAACTGTCTCCTCCCACCCTGTGATCCTTTGGGGGGATATCTTTGAAGCTAGTTGGGGGAATGTTACATTGTGGAGGTATTTGACTTAGAGTTTCAGCTTTTTTGTTTTCTTTTCTCTTTGTTCTCCTTTCCCCTTCCCTCCCTTCCTTTCTCCTTTTCACTCCTAGACAGGGTCTCACTTTGTAGGTCAGGCTGGCCTGGAACTTGAGATTTTCTATCTCAGCCTCCTGAGTCTGGGATTATAGATGTGTGACACATGGCTTTTTTTTTAAGGAATATAGTAGAAATGATATTGCTGTATATTTACAGAAGTTTTGAGAAATTGACATATCTTCAGCCATCTTTGAAGCGTCAACAGGAAATGTGTTTTCTGAAAGTTGGAAAACTGGTAGAGATGATAAATGGGAGATGCCTCCTACTGGGTCAAATAGGGGTGGAAACTAATGCCTTTCTCTCCTTTGGCTTTCCAGTGGACAATCTTCTACCTTGCTGGAAAACCAATATAAACCCTAACATGAAATGTTAATAGAAATAAAATACCTACTTAGCTGAAAGACATTCACTCAAGTGCACCTTACGTTTTATAGAATGCTATGCTGGTGATTTATTTATATAGATTAAAAGTAAATAAAATTTGGTTCCATGACATATCAACTTTGGACTGAGTATTTCATGGCTTAATATACTTGTTGAGCTTCATTTCTGCTGTAGAAAGTGTTATATGATATTGTTGAGTTAGTAGCTATTTGGAAAGAATTAGTAAATGTCTAGAACTCTGTTTAATGGATTTCTTTAGCTGTCTCCTAGTGGATCTGACTCTGAATTTTCTTGACTCTTCCTTTTTCATCACTTCTCAGTTCTTCCACGTATTTTGTTATACTTGAGATAAAAATGCAAAATTTTGGTTATGATTTAACCTTCTTAGAAATGATATTCTTTGTTCTATATTTGTTTGAGAGGTGAACTGATTTCTTGTGCGTTGCATGTAGATACTGCTTCTCAGCAAAAGAACAAGAGAAAAGTTTGGCAGTAGAGAGTATAGACTGAATTTATTGAGAAAAATACCCTAGTACAGTGTTGTCCAGCTAGCTAGAGCTTACCCTAAGAATTCCCTGAAGAATCTTCTCTGCTGGAATGTGGGCGAACTTGGTAGTCCATGATTGCACTTGGTACCTTGTTTCTTTCAGGCACCTAGCCTTGTGAAGGTCACGTATGGAGCTGTTTCAGGTTTTGATCAAGGATAGCATGTTGCTATAGTTATACCATAAGGCTTTGGGGGCTGATTAGGAGTTCTGAGCATTTTCTGTCTAATTCAGTTACTAGTTATAGAAAGAGACAAGTTTTAATTTTAATAGTGTACTAGTACCCCTCAGTATGAAAATACTCGGCATTTTCACCACCTAGGAGTTTGCTGTAGACTTAATAATGACCGTTCACTCATAGTCATTACTTAACAGTGGCCTTACTGAAGAAAGGAGAAAGGAAAAGGAGTATTTGGAGCCTGGGGATAGGGCTAGAAGGCACTGATTGACTCCCAAGTAAGGATGAAGGCTCCTTGAGGGAGTAGGGAAAGGTAGCCAAGCCTAATAACCTTTAAGGATCCAAAGTGTGATACTTTCCATGTTAAATAGACAGGCACCAAACAGGACTGACGAGGAGAGCATTGTCTATGTGGGAAGACGTGCTTGGTTTCCACTTCCCTGCTTTGAGCGAATGGATTTGGACTGGAGAAACCTCATGGTTATTTGTAGGTTGTTCTGGGGTTGTGTTTGCCCTTGATGGCTTTCAGCTTTTCCTGTATAGTCCAGGATTCTTGACTGTGAGGACCATAGCTGCCTCCTTTCCCCTCCCCAACATTAGCTAAAATCCTTGATTGATTTTTTTTTTTTAACCACCTAAAAATGTTTCCATTGATGACACAGTTTCATTCAGAGCCGGTTTATCAGACCTGCCAAGTATTCAGGTGGGGAGACCAACTTCATTCCCGTGGAGCATGTTGAGGTTGTGTGGGTTGTATTTGTAGATTGCGTTATGTTTTGGTAAACTGTCTGAAACCTCTGGCAGGGATTAAAACATTGGAAGAATATTTGGGGTGACTTGTGAGGTTTTAGAATGAATTAGAGGACATTTAAAAAGCATCTAAAATGATTTCATCTTATTCTCAGGTAGAGATTAGCTAATAAATACTGTTTTGGTAACAAATGTGATACATAGAGGTATTTGATCTGAATAGACTTGCTTTTTTTTTTTTTAATACAAAGTATTTTTAGGAAAATAGAATTTGACTCTAACATTATACTGCTGACTCCTTGCCTTTTGTTACATGCATACTGAAATGGTCCAAGTAATGATGACACTAAGACAACGTATACATTGTTTTGATGGGGTATTGATTCTTTTTGTAGTATTCAGAATTGCTCCCGTGCCTCCCAGCAACAGTACATATGTGACAGACTCCATGTGAGACGAGCATTCTAAAAAATGGAATGCTAGTTTACTTTTCAGTAGCTGTACAACTTAAGGGGGAAAATCATGTTTTTAGCAATGTGGCCTTAAGGCGCTAACATACTTAACATCCAGTGCATGGAGTTACTTTAACAAAGCCTAATCCAAAGGAGCAAAACTGGCATTTATAGAGCTTATTTATTGATTGCCATAAGCGCCTAGAAAGAATATCCTGTTTCTTTTAATAAAATCCATTTGGGGGCTGGGAATGTGGCTCAGTGGTAGAGTGCTTGCCTAACATGCATAAAGCCCCGGGTTCGATTCCTCAATACCACAGACACAGAAAAGGCCAGAAGTAGTGCTGTGGCTCAAGTGGTAAGAGTGCTAGCCTTGAGGAAAAGAAGCTCAGGGGCAGTGCCCAGGCTTGAACTGGCAAAAAAAAAAAAAAAAAAAGGCGTTTGGATAGTTGTCTACATTTTAATGTGTAAATATCTGAGGAATTTGATTTTAACAAGGGCGGACTTGAGTGGGAGAATGGAAGAAGTGGGAAGTTGGAGTTGTAAAAGAGGAGTGGCCACATTTCTTTTCTTGCTAGTTATATTTCTACCTATCACCTACGCTAGCCCATTGTGCCCACTGCGTTTAGAATCTGCTGTCCAGTACACATGCGGGATTGCATACTAGCATCAGGAATGTGGTTTGCTTAAGCTTAGTTTTTAGAACAGAATGATTGTCCTATAATGCTGATTATTTACTAGTGAAATGAACATTGAAATGAGTACTTAATAACTCTTATTGTGCTCACTAACACCGTGAGGTTGAATAAGTTTTTTGTGATTTAGGTGACAGCTTTATTTTTCAAAAGAAACCCTTACCTCTTTTTATCCTTTTTAAAAGTATAAGTTAGTTTATTACTGGGGACAATGAGTAAATAATAACATTCGTTGAAGTGAAGCTTGATAATTCTTTCTTCTTTGTAGGGATTCCTCATGTCAGGCTTCCAGTAGCTGCATAATTCCAGTAGAACTACCAAGTTACTTTGCTTAAAATGTCTTTTTTTTTCCCCCTGTGCAGTGAAAGTTGAATGTAAGAACAGATCTTAATAGATATAGTTACACAGTTTATTTTATCATGTATCACTTTATTGCTGTCTTCTAGAACATTGTTATACTAAATGTTCCAATAATGGAAATTTTATGCAGCAACTTCAAATGAAAGAAATTTGCAAAAACTCAATTTTGTAACTCATTCCTTGAGGAGAAGGAAAAAAAACTCACCATGCTGTGACCAAATTAGATTTCTGATATGTTGGCAACTTATCAAACACTGTCATTTCCAGACAACAAGGTTGGGTTCCAATGGAAATATCAGTACTTCCCATCTACTTTCAATTGGAGATATTTGGGGTTTTAATATGATTGAATAGCTAAATGTTTGTAAACATTTTTGTTGGTAACAGGTAATTAAAATTTGGTTGTGTACCTAAATAAAAATGGCTCTACACGGAATCAGTCAGTGGAGTCTTCTTTTCAAGAGCTTGATTTGAAATTCTTGGAGATATTAGTTGTACTTACTGGAGCTCCTTTGTTTTGCAGAGATCATGATGCAGCCGTCCTTTTGGATTTCTTTTTAATAATGTGTGACCCTTCACCTTTGATCCCCTGACCTGCATTACCTTGGTAACCATTTCATTTTTTAATTTAATTTCATTTTTAATTTTGGTGTACAAGCTGTAACATTTCATCTCTCAAAGTATAGCACGCTGATTTCCTCAAATAGAGATACCCCTTTGAGGGATAAATTTGCAAAATGCTGTCTTCATTTTCTGTATTGAAATTCATTTCAGTTTTTAAAAATAAAGTATAATCTGTGTTTTCATCCTTTTAAAAACTTGAGTTTAATTAGTGCATTTTCCCATACATGTTTTGCAAAAGGTATGAATTAACTCATGTTCACATATAATTCACACATATCCAGTATGTCTGCAATGGTCGTTCCACCCAAACACTCCTCACACTAGAACACACACATAAAGACACACACACAGTCACTGTCAGTGCAGTAGTAGCAACTTGAATTACTACATCTGCATCCTCAAATTGCAAATTCTTAATATTATTGGGAGAGAAAGCCTACAGTTTTAATTTCATTTAAGGGCTAGAAGACTACAAAGTTGTCTCATAAAATTCACCTTTCCTCCTCTTTGATATTTTATTTCTTTGAGAAGGAAAAACAACAGTTTCAATGTAATCAAAATGTGTGTTTCTTTTTGCTAAATACATAGTTTGCTTTTATTTGGTTATTCTCTATCAAATAGTGCATCCTTATTATATTCATCTTTTCAGAAAGTTCTTCAAAACCAAAAATTAAACTTGAGTTAATTCTTTGAACTGCTAAAATATTTCTAAGAAATCATGGTTCTCCCCCTCTAAAAAAAAATCACGTGAAATCTCTGCACATGGTCCAGTGAAGCACAGATTATCTTTTAAGTGTCTCATTATTTTATTCTCTAACATTTAATGCTGATGTTTTAATTGCACACAGCTGAAGCTGCTAAATGAGCACTGAAATGGATTTAAGTCCTCTCTGAGCTTTGTTGATACCTATAAAAGTTTATATCATTCATTAGAACCACAAATTAAAATTAGTCATGGTGAGCTGTTCATTGGTGATTGGAACTCTTACAAACACTTCCAGCTTGTAGCTTATTTTGCCTGTTAAGTCTGCATACCTGGAAAGTCGCCTTTGGCCTGTTGGGTATCTTTTTTCACAGAACTACAAAATATCAGGGTTGAGAAATGCTAGTAGGTAAAATATCCTATAATTATAAAGCTCCCGTTTTCCTGTGATGATAAATGTGCTGACAGTTAGAGCAGCTTCCTTGCTGAACCTTGAGTTTTAGGGTGATTTCTTTCTTTCTTTCTTTCTTTTTTAAATTACGTTACGACACAACCCACCGCAGTGCAGGAATGCTTTCCAGATCCCCAAAGGCTTCTGTTTTTCTTTTTCTTTTCTTTTTTTTTTCCCCTTCAGGTGTGTCCTTTATTTGTCCCTTTGATGCTGTGTCCTTCAAGCAACAAAGGAAAGGTGCCTGATTTGGAGTTCATAGCATCATAGGGCGGCTCATGGGCTGCTCTCCTCCTGTGAGGGATGAGCCAGCTGATTGTCCCCTGGGGAGTCACAAGCTCCCTGGTGACAGAGTCAGTTAGCTGGGCTCCCCAGAGCCAGATAATTTATTCAGAAGTCTAATAGAAGCTGAAAAGACCTTAATAGATGCAGAAGAGAAATGTTTTTATTATGTTTTACTTTATGATTGTATCAATTAGATTTTTCTTGAAGTTTTCGGCTTAATACATTTTTTAAGGCAATCTATTTTTCTAAGAGAGCCCGTACATGGATACAGTGATTACTTATTTCCAATGAGCATTGGTTATTTGTTTAGCATTTAAGATTTTTATTGAGTTGAAAGCCACATGGATATTGTTATTTGTGATTCACAGAGAAAATTCTTCTCTGAGAGTTAGAACATCTGCTTTGGAATAACAAGATCATTGAGTAGACTATTGAAATCTTAAAGATAGTTATCCAAAGCTAAAATATTTGAATGTAAGACTTAGAGGAGGCTTTAATTTTAGTGTGAACACAGTGAATTAGTGTTTAGCTGACCCATCCCGGAGTTTGTAAAATGTCTGATGCTGCTTCTCTTTTATCCTGGGTGCAAGCAGCAACTGTATATTTCCTACTTGCCTTTTAAAGTTGTTGGAATATAGTGGGAACTCAGAGGAAGGTGCTTTTGAAACTGAACCTCACTCAGTCAGTTGTGAATCCCATGATGAAGGGCCAGGCCTGTGTGGCTCTAATCCCACCTCAGCCTCTGGTAAATGGCCTAACTACAGCCCATTGCCCAACCTCTCTGTGCCTGAGTTTCCTCCTCTTTCTATTGAGAGCAGTAATAATAGCACCCACTCCAAAAGATCACACTGATGACCTGTGAAGAGCCATAGGGCATGCTGACATGCAGCGGTGCCAAACCTGAACGCCATTGTGTGGAAAATGCTCCTTACACAGGGTGACACTTTAGCCCTGCCCCACCCCCAGTGTCCCAACTTTTAATTTAGAGACCTGTGGATGCTTAGAGAACTACATAGCTTATGGCATTTTAGTACCTGTAAAATAAATTCAAGTTTGGGTAGGTAAAGGCTTCTTAATCTTTTTGGAGGAAAAGTGAAGAGCCACCTCACCCTTCCTTTTATTGATTCTTTTGTTTTAGCTATTTTGGCCTGTGGAGACAAAAAGAGATCTGAAAGAGAGCGAGAGAGGAGGGGGGGAGATCATTTACCTGATTAGTTCTCTTTACTCTGGTAAGTTGTCTAGCTAGCTTTCAAGGAATGAGAGCATTTTACTCAGCTGTGTGAGGCTTAGTGTCCTCACATTGAGTAGGACTTCGCTGCTGTCCCATGTTCTGAATGTGTCACATGTTCTGCCCAGTGCTTTCATACTCTGTAATCATCCCTTTTGTTGGGGGCGGGGGTCTAACCCAGTTTCACACACAAGAATGCTGATGCTCAGGTAGATTAACTACACTGTCCCTGGCTTATATCCTCAGTATATTGCAAAACTAGCATTTTAATCCAGCTGCTGTTTAGCTCCTGACACTTACTGCCTTGAGTTTATCTGCAAGCCAGGCAGAACCACTCACATAAAGCAGTTCTGCCATTTTGCCTCAGCTGTACGAACTTTTTTGACTCTCAGCCATCAGACCTTTTAACATAATAGCGCCCTAAATTAGTAAGGCCTCATAGAACTGTGGAGTGGCCCTGGCAGTCAGGCCGCTGCCAGCATTGTCAGGAAGATGGTGTTACATATGCAGCACTGGTGCACTCTTGAACAGTAGCTTCTTTGGTCTTGGCTGCATAGCTAGAGTCACTGGCACAGCTCTTTAAAAACTAGGAGCACTGATGCCACCTGTGACTGATCCTTTTCTTTAGCAGAGAACCAATAATTAACAGCTTCAGGAAGTAAACAAGAAAAGTAATGATTTGTACACGTAGGTGTTTGGCTTTAGAATACGGGGCAGAGCTATTAATCTTACAGTGGGCTACATTGTAGGCAAGGTGGATCTCTGTGGGCCAGGTTAGTTGTTGGCTCAGTGGTAGTCAGGACCTTGTTTAGGCGGAGCCTCTGAATGAGAACTGGCCGTCAAGAACGCCAGGCTTGAGCTTTGCTACGGAGTTCAGGAACAAGGGGGTTGGCTTTTTTCACCTTCTTTTTCACCTTTGTTCTTTCTCCGCTTTTATGCATTGATTTTTCCCTTCCCTTCTTCTGTTCTCCTCCTCCAGAGTTCTCTGTTCTCCCCCCTTTTATTTCTTCCACCCACCGAATGTTTGCATTGTTTCTGTTGTCAGACTGTAAAGTACTTGAAATCCTCCAGGTGCATAGCCTGTGGGTTCAAATGGCTCTGTGTGTCTGTGTCTGTCTGTGTCTGTGTGTGTGTCTGTGTGCGCATACACCATGCTGGCGCAGGGCCTTAAACTCAGGGCCTTGTGCTCTTCTTTAGCGTTTCCCTCATAGTGCTCTACCACTCAAGTCACACTTCCACTTCCAGTTTTTGCTGGTTTATTGTAGACAAAAATCTCTTTGATTTGTCTGCCAGGGATGGCTTTGGACTGCCACCCTCAGATCTTAGCCTCCTGGTAGCTAGAATTAAGCCATGAGCCACTGGTGCCTTGCTCAAATGGACTTACATAATTTGTCTTACTGTTTTTCAGAGAAGTGAGCCACTACCCTTGATTAGCCTAAGACATTAGTTATTACTTGATCATCTGTCCTAACTTTGTTTATCTTGATAATTTAGACAAATAGGCTTTAGTCACGAGTAGTAAAGATGAGGCCCTACAAGAGTCTTGGAATGTTCTAGAAGCTGCTTATGACAGATTTCTGCATATATATGCAGCATAGTTTTTGAATGGGAAGGTCCACCATCATTTGGCTCAGACCCTCATTTTTTGCGATGACCGATCTCTCCGGAGCGGGAGTGTTGGTTCAACAGCAGCTGATGTTGCCTTTGCTGTGGCTGCGTGGGTTGTGTTAGAGCAGAAAAGAGTAAATCCAGTGGCTCAGGGCTGCGGTGGCTCCCGTGCCTCCAGAAATGTGGCAGAGTCATCCTGCTTCCCCTTCCACAGGAGCGAGGGTGGAAGGGTAGGTTGAGCTGAGGTTGGTAGAGGTCTTCCCAGGGTGGAGTCAGGAAGCTCTGGGTGGCGCCCTACATGCCAGCAGATTGGCCTAAGTGGCAGCCAGCTGCTGCGGGACTCACTCAGAACTGCCTCCAGCCCTCCTGAGGCTTGTAGAAAGACTGAGAAACAAGTGTGGAGTATGACATGATATCTTTTGTCATTCCTTAGTGAGACCTGCCCTAGCCAGCAAGGGAACTAACAAAGGACAGAGTGTCAAAATGGCTGCCGAGCTGGAAGCCACAGGAAGCAGCTCTTGTCTGTTCTGGTTGTGTTTGCTTTCCCTGGGGAAGTGAGGTTTCTTACTGTGTTGCTGGGTGACATACCTCAGAATCGTAGGATTTAGACTAGATTTTCTGTTTTTCATACAGGTGGCTCAGGAACCTGACACATGACAGACATCACACATACCCAGTACAAAGCTGTGATTATTTGGGTTTGACTGTCCA